CCCCCACAATATTCTTATATAGCGAGACTTTAATATATAGCATTAAACAAGCCCATTAAACTTAGCCTTGTAACAACTGAAACAACAAGGCCATTATGTTGGACTGAAATTCGAATTAATAGAAATTAAATTCCGTAACTATTAATTTAAATCCCACACTACTGGTCTGTTGGTCTACTGCCATGGTTCGACCCCAAGGCCGAACCCATGCTGTTTAGTTTCGGCCTTGAGGCCGAAAGATGCTGTCTCAGTTCGGCCAAGCCTTGGCCGAACTGAGACGGCCAGCACGAGAGTGGCCGAGCTTCGCCGAATTCAGCAACTCTGCTGTCTATCGGCCAGGCCGAGACAACCTGGTCTCAGTAGCGGCTTGGCCGAACTCAGCAATCTCGTGCTGTCTTTTGGCCAGGCCGAGACAACCTGGTCTCGGCAGCAACAACCACCCTTCAAGTGGCGTAGTGTTGGAAAAATGATTCCCGACGTTCGTGCCCGCAGGTGCCAGCGCACACGAGTTCAGACTTGAATTAAGCCTTTTCGATATCAATTTGAGATTTGATTCGCACCCTGTCCCCCTACACGCAAGAGAGAGCCTCTATGCTATACAATTCAATAAGCCCCTAAAAGACTCTTGTATAAATAGTGGGGCAAATGAGCAAATCCTCTTCAATTCCCAAACTAATGTGGGGCAAAAGCTCATCTTTTTCCCTTTATTTTTCCAACTCAATGGGTCTACTTTGAGAATCAATATCTCATTCACTCATTATTCGTTTTGAGCGTACAATATATCAATCTCTTCGTCTCACTACGAAGAACTCGAATCCACTTTGACTCGACTCAAATCAAGAGTAGACCCTACTAATAATTGTACCACAAAATAACCACTTAAAATGTCATTTTAATGCTATTTTTCCAACATGTATTTGGTAAATATTTATATCTAATATAAATATTTAGTGAAACAAGGGGTGTTACATGGAGGATGATGTAACCGCTCTCAAGGGTAGCTTAAATAAAAGGAAGGGCAGAAGTAAGGTTAAGAAGGCAGTGGAAGGAAAAGGGATGGAGGATCAGTTGATTGAACCTGAGAAGGATGGGCTGGACCGAAAAAGGACACCGCTTGAAGTAGCAGTTGATAATCATTGAGGTTTTTTCTAACGACGACGTTTTGGGTCCCTATATTTTAGTTGTTGTTGTGAGTTTGTTAAATTTGTTGAGACTGCTTGCAGGAATCTCTGTGATTATATATATGTTGAAGTGTTTTTTCTGATTTCCGTATGGTGAAAGTTAATGCAATTTCTAATTTCTCCTTCTTCTTATTCACCCCAGTTCTCACTTCTTCTGTTATTCCCTTTCTATTTTTTCTACTTCAATTTCTAGTGTATTATAGACGATGAGTGGAATGAGGGTTTTGAGGAAAATTGGTTGGAGGGCGTCACGAAAAAGGAGCACTTCTGGGTGGCTTGCAATTGCCTTGATCCGTAAAAACTCTCCCTAAAAAAATTACACTTCTAACACAATCCAAGATACTAACCCTTTGTACATAACTAGCAGCCTGGTTGTTATTCTTGTGCCAGCAATCATTTGAATAGTGGCCACATTTGTGACAACATTAGCACCCTACATTTGATTTGTCATACTTCCCTTTGTTGTGTCCACAACCTTGTCTTTTCGATATCTACGTGTTCGGACTTGCATTGGAACAAATATTATGTTGTTCAGCATGACCTTTATTAGAGTGATTGTCACTTCTTCCTCTACCTCTACCTCTACCTCAAGAGCATCTAGATTTTTTATTGGAATCATCGATCGAGGCTTGTGCTTGATGAGCGCGCTTGTTCCAATGGCTTCTCATGCAACCTGAACTCGTGTGTTTTTAATGAACCAGATAACGACTTAACTGCCATTGTTGTTAATTAGATCATTAGCCCCCTTAATCGCAGTCACAACATACTCAAACCTTGGAATCAAGATTCCCAAAATATTCTCTAACTTATTTTGTTTTGGGAGAGTTTCACCATTGTTCTTATGTTGTTGGCCAATGCTATAAAACAATTGATATAGGAATCAATTGTCTCACCCAAAACCATCTCCAATAGCTCATATTGACGCCTTAATGTTTGAAAGTGTACTCTCTCGATTTTATTTTCATCACCCTTGTACGAGTTGGTCAAAATACTCCATTTCTCATAAAATGCCTTTACACCTTCAATCTGCTAAAAGGTCTTTATACTATAATGTCCTATTTAAAACTATCTATATAAATAGGTTAAGATACCCGCATGGGCAGCTCAACTAGTTATAGAGGTGAAAAGTTGGAAGAATGACCAGGGAGCGACCTTTCACAGTAGGGGGTCTCCTTGTGCGCAGTAAACAAAGGTCTACCTTTGGAAGAATAAATAGGTTAAGATATTAATTGGATAAATTTTGTTAATCGAAATAGATAGTTTCCTAATTAAAAATATAATAATTTAAAAATAATATAATTAAAGAGTTTCATTATACATTACAACTAGTATTTGTCTCGTGCGATGCACGGAAAATATGTTATAAAAATATATCCTATATGAGGTTTATTCATATATAAAATTTTTGTTATTTAATAATTATTATGTGTGAATTCCTATGATAAAATTATGAACATAAATATATTTACAATTAAAATAATATTTAAGGTGGGTGATTACTACAAATCTTAAACTATATTAAAAATTTAGTACATAGTATTTAATATTACAAATTTTTAAGAACTTAGTAAACTACAATAGTAATTGAATTACAATTTTAGAGTCACCACGGATCAAAATTTTTAGACCTTTGAGATTTCTAACTCTAGATGTAGCAACATACAATTGACCTTTAAAGACCAAAATCACAATCTTAGTTCGAACATTGATTTTTTCTTCCAAATACTATCGAATTAAGTGTGTAATCAATAAAAGATGAGAACTAATAATTCGAGAATATAATCTTAATGTTACTAAGCCACTTCACGTCAATTAAGTTGGAGAGTGTTGTTGGATAGTATTCGATGAATCCACGAATAACGCATCTTTGTCTCCGTAGTTCTCAATATGCACATCAACAATCTTAAATATTAGGCCGCCTAGCTATGCCATATATTAATTTCAAACTTATGAACTTTGGGGTTGCATGCAATAAAAAGTATATTTTAAATATACTAAGGGTACATTATATATGTATGTAAGGTACTTTCAATATAAAAATAATGTATTTTTAATATATTAAAAATGTATTTAATATTCATGATCCATACAATTATGTGGACCATCGTTCCTCACAATAATTTGCCAGTAGAAATTGAAATATATATATATATATATATATATATATATATATATATATATATATATATATATATATATATATATATATGTTGGTCTCGATAGATTGTGTGGTGAGTCTAGAGGGGGGGGGGGGGGTGAATAGACTCTCGTTTTTCTTTAGTTTTTTTTTTTTAAAAAAAAACCTGACAACACTTTTTGAGTAAGATAAGCACAGCGGAAAGATTATAAAGAGAGGGTTGCACGAGTTTGATAAAATGTTATGAGGAGTGATGAAAAAGATGATATGCAAGCAGTAAAATAAAGCAGTAAGTAAAGAGAAGAGTGAGACGAGATTTTATAGTGGTTCGGCCAAACGTTGCCTACTTCCACTCTTCTTCCACAACTGCTGGAAGGATTGCACTATCACTCTTTAGTACAATTACACAAAGACTTCCTTGATCACTAAGCCGGACAACCTTTGAAGGTTTTTCAACTCCGAGAGTTTACTCCGCCTCTATCAACTTTTTCTTCTAAGTTGAGGTTGGTAAGAAAGTATTTCTTGATTCCTCCAACTGTGAAGTCTTGATGGTGTGGGATGATTGCTTCAAGAGTGCAAGACTTCTTTCAAGATGTAGGGCAGTGATGGATGATCTACTTCAAATGCCTCAACACCTTAAATAACTGGTTCGCAAAAAGCTTTGAGATTGTTAACCTTTTTAAGGGCTTTTTGCAAGAGAGTGAGTAGAGTGATAATGAACCAGCACCTTCTTAGTTGATGAAGGTTGGTTTATATAGGTGATGAAAATTCATCCGTTGGAGGGAGATGAATTTTTCGAACCTTTTATCTGTTGGACAAGGACCATGGAGCCTCATGCATTTAATGCTCCATTGATGTGTTTGTACTATGTAGCCGTTGAAGGTATGGAGGATTTGATGGCTTTTGTCTTTTAGCTCCAGAGATAGTACAGCTTCATTAAATGCTCTTTGGAGAGCGTGTCCCATGAGTTGAGGTCCTTATTGTCCTAGGATGTTGTCAAATCAGACAGGTAGAACATTCTTCTTGTTGATGAGAAGAAGAATACTTCATGCGAAAGTCTTGAAAAGAACTGTCTTCTTAATGACAACTCCTTCTTTCGTTGCTGTGGAGTCTTCTTTCGTCTTGATCAGCCTATCTTCTATTCATAACTCTTTTCGTGTGTTTGTTCTAGCTTAACACGAATTACATATGAGTTATGGCAACTTTCATCTAAAACGAAAGTAGCGATACAAGAAAAACGTAAGAGTTAGGGGTCTACTTTCTACATTACATTGGTATCATCAAAATCCTAATACAAGGTTCCTAACAATATATATATATATATATATATATATATATATATATATATATATATATATATATATATATTAGATAGAAACTGTCCGTGTAAATTATTATCATTATAATTATTATTGCAATTATTATTATTATTATTATTATTATTATTATTATTATTATTATTATTATTATTATTATTATTATTATTGTTATTATAATTAACAATATTATTATGGTTTTGTGAAAATTAAATGTTGATTATCAACATTTAATTTTTACAATAACAATATTATTATGGTCTTGTGAAAATTAAATGTTGATTATCACCATTTAATTTTCACAAGACCATATGGCTTTATTATATATAGGATAGGATAGGATATATGCTTACAAATGCTCAACAACTCAAGAAGCTTTATTATATCATAAGTTTCATAACTTTCAAGATATTAAAAATAAATAATTCATTGCAATTAATTAACTTCTAATAATTAATAACAATCAACGAAATTGTAGTTGACTGTGAGGTAGCCCTGAGCAACGCCCTGTCCATTCGTGTCCAATTGATTAAATACATTGACGTCCAAATCCAACCCTCCATTTGAACACTGATCAACAATCCTCACCGTTACTTGATCATAGGTGGCGGTATTAATAACCTGTGTCAATATTTTAATAACATGTAAACTCCATTATATTAAGATACATTTATTTTCTTTACAAAAAGTTATTTGGATTTTTATATTCTCTCAAAAGGTAGAATCCCCAACCCCAAGACCTCCACACTTCGACCAGACAAAGTATTTAGGAGAATGTAAATCACCCTGAGTCAATGACTCACTCAGAGTCAAATGTCGGTGTCCACAAGGAATCTAGCTGCCCACTTTTGGCAATATTTAGATTTATATTGCGTGTACTAAATGAGTATAAGAGTCTCCACTAGTTGAACTGCGTCCAGTAGACGGAATGTTCCGCTATATATAGGCTCTGTTTGGCAAACCTAGCTGAAAACTGAAAAGCTATAAGCTCGGAGCTGAAAACTGAAGAGCTGTAAGCTAGTTGTTATGATTGAAAGTGTTTGGTAAAATTAGCTTTTTGATAAGCTGATAAATGTAAAAAGACTAAAAAGGACATCTTCATAAAATTTGAATTAGTTTGTTTACATATTAAAATTTAACATTTTGTCTTTAGAAAAAATTAACATTTTGAAATAAAACTATTAGCATAATCATGATCTAGCATATCATAATGAAGTAGCAATATTGTTGCAAATCTCATAATAATAATAATAATAATAATAATAATAATAATAATAATAATAATAATAATATTTGCGGTGAAAGTTGCGGATAAAGGAGAAGAGAAAAGGGTTTTAATTGGGAAGGTAAATTACGTCATTTCTTTAAAATAATAAGGATAAAGATAGAAAAAAAGTACAGGAAGAGTTTGTATCATTGTTCTATTAAAGTATGACATTGACCTCTTTGGTAAAATAGTTAGTCTATCACTCAGTCTCAGTTTGTTGTACCACTATTAACTATTTAACTTGGTTAAATAACTAATATGATTCCAGGACTATGTGGTTTAATGGTATCAGGGTTGGACTTTTATTTGAAAAGTTATGAGTTCAAGCCTCAGTGGAGACGTTATTGGTTTTTTATGTTTCAGTAGGTTGAGAAGGTATATGAACAGATACTACAATGTAATAGGGCCAGTAACATTCAAAAAAAAAAAAAAAAAAAACTAATATGATTGTTTGATTAATTAGTTTTTGTAACAATTTATTGCTCCAAAACACTAAAACTCAAAAATGAAGTTGCTCAAAATAACTTTTTTCGATTAACTTTTTGATAATGTCATTTTGTATGTAATCAGCTATCAGCTAACAACTAATTTACCAAACATATTTTTACAATCAGCTAATGTTTTCAACTAGTTAAACATACTAACCCAATTAGCTAACATTTATTTACCAATTAAACAGCCATTGTAATTTTTCTTCATTGTTGATAAATAAGTAACATATATACCTCCAAACATCTGCCACAAGAATCGTAGCCTGTTGGACCAACAGGACCACAGAAGGCAGTCCATCCATACATTTGCCGCCATTCAAGTGGCTTGTCGGCATCCCAGGTGGCACAGTAGACGCTTGCGGTATTATAATCCCAATTGATATTCTGAGGGTTGTAATTATTATACGTCGCCCTCACGTTGGTGGCGCTCTGCGCGGCGGCGCCGGCCACCATCGCCACCACCACAAGCAAATAAGCATTAGCAACTCTCCCCATTTTTGTATGTGCTTTAATTGCCTTAATTGTATTACTGCCAATGTGATGTATCTCTTGGGTTTTGTTGTATTTATAGACAGGGCGTGGAGGAAAGATTGAGTATATGCTCCAAAATTTATAATACCATCAATTATTACAAAGATTTTGTTGTTATAAACCGTTTGAATAAGTCTATTCTCAAAGAGGAAAATAAAGTAAATTAAGAAAACAAGAACAAAAATAAAAAGATCAGAAGAAAATTGTGATTGTCATCCTCTAACACTAATTCTATTGTTGGTTAGGATAATAAGATAACAACTATTTACCAAATATCCCTATTGAAATTTTTTAAAAAGTTAATTCTATTTTTGGTCCTACATTTATATGTAGCGGTCCATTTTTAGTTCATTTTATTAGAACATCCTCTTTTAGTTCTAGTATTATTGTCGCATTATCATTTTTATCTTCCGTCAACAAAATCGATTCAATGCCGTTAAAAACAATGACATTTCGATCTTTTTGTTATATGAAATAGATTGATCCGCTATATTTTTATTTTTATTTTTTTTAAAAGAATTCATAATTGAAGACCGAAATACCCTTGTATTTAACAGCATTTAAACTGTTTTGTTGGTAAATGACATAAATGATCATGTCACAATATTACTAGGAACAAAGAAAATTGTTTTAAAAATAAAGGACTAAATGTGGACTGTCACTTATAAATTTAGGATAAAAAATGTAGTTAACTCTTTTATATATATATATATATATATATATATATATATATATATATATATATATTCCTATATGGTTCCACTCTAAACTTTAACAATCAATTTTTCTATTTAATTTTAATTTTAGTAAATGATTTTATATCTTTATATAAAATAAATATTTATTATTAAATTTAAAACGTTATAAGTTATTAAAATAATGTTAAAAAAAAAAAAAAGAGAAGAAAATATTGACTCAAACGATGTAATAGAGTGGTAGAAGATTATTCTTATATACATGAAGGGTTACAATATAATTTCCGAATAAAGGGGAACACAGTCAACATTATTAAGAGAAGATAAAGATAATTCAGATGGGCTTTAAGTCCATGCCTGGGATAGTCGCAAATTATGCTGTGGAACCGAATGCACCTTGCAAGGTGCATACGGTTGCAAAACGGCGCCGTTTTGGTTAAAAAAACGCGCGTCCTACTTAAAGAAGAAATCAGGTTCGATTCCCGGCAATAGCATTTTTATATATTCAGAAATTCATAAATATATATCCAGAAATTCATAACTATATATCCACAAATTCATAACTATATATCCACAGTGAATGAATGAAGTAAAAATCTACAATGAATGAATGAATGAAGTAAAAATCCACAATGAATGAACTAAATATCCACAATGATTGAACTAAATATCCACAATGAATGAACTAAATATCCATAAATTCATAACTATATATCCAGAAATTCATAACTATATATCCACAGTGAATGAATGAAGTAAATATCTACAATGAATGAACTAAATATCCACAATGAATGAACTAAATATCCATAAATTCATAACTATATATCCACAAATTTATAACTATATATCCAGAAATTCATAACTATATATCCACAATAATGCTATTGCCGAGAATCGAACCTGAATTTTTTTTTTTTAAAGTGGGACGCGCGTTTTTAGTCAAAACGACGTCGTTTTGCATCGTATGCACCATGCGCATGGTACATTCGGTTGCACAGCATAACTATTGTGGGATAGTGGTCAAATTATATTGTGGATCGTGAATAAATATTTATTTTAATATATTAAATTTATATTGTGTATGGAATGTTTATTATTTAGTAATATGTTAAATAATGAACTTTCAATACTCGAACTTTTATTATTTATGTTGTTGAAAAATTCACGGATGGTTGACAAATATAAGGCATCGAAAAACCTTTAATCTTGATCACATGTGTCCCCCCACTACTTTACTTCCAGCGCACTTTTCATGTATAAATGGAGTTTCATGCTTTTTAATATGTAATATTTTTTGTGCCTTGAATGGTTAGTACTTGTGTTATTAACACATAGGTCATAGATTCAAATTTTGTTAGCCGCACTTTCTTTTCTGAAATATTTTGCTTCATGCTTCTTTTTTTTTCTTGGCAATATAATAAAAATGGACCCCCGATGCGCCAAAATCAATCCAGTAAAATGGGCTATCGAGATCCCATGTGCTCATCAATATATCCTAATATCCTAATTCTTTGTTCATTGTACAATCTATTGATCATTTGCTCAATTTTGAAATAGCATGTAGATCTTATATTGAGGCTCCAAAGTAATAAGCACCAACATTAACACAAAATATAGAGAATGAACTCACGGCAGTGACGGCACGTTATATTGAAAAATAATGTATCTTGTAGCTTTTACAGAATAATAGTAATTTTGTAACCACAGGGTCACGAGTTTGAATCCCAAATTTTTTAATTTGTCAATAATGTCTACGACTTAGACTCCAAGGCGGCGATCCCAATATTTATCCATGCCTTAAGATCAGGGTATTTCCACAAGCAGCTGAACGCCCACCACCCCCGCTCTTACGAAGATCTGATGAGGACGGCTAGCCGCTATGCCGAAGCAGAGGACGTCGACAGGAAGAAGAAGGACGAAGAGGATGGTAGGAAAGGTGGGAAGCCTGGGAAAGCTGGTCCGCCCAGCCAGGCACCACTCTCGAACCACCCGACCGCAGGGAAGGGCCGAGACCACGAACGACCTCGCCTGGTCCCCTTGCGTAATTTAACTCCTCTTACCCATCCCGTCAGTGTCATTCTAAAGCAAGCTGAGGAGATGGGAATGGTAGAATTCCCCGAGGAGTGCATGAAGGTCTCCCCAAAGGCAGACCAAACAAAGTACTGCAGGTTTCATAGGCATGCCGGACACGATACGGATGAGTGTCACGTTTTGAAGAGACAAATAGAAGACCTCATCCAGCAGGGCTACTTCCGACATTTCGTCAAGCGATCCAAGCAGCAGCAACAGCCGCAACACAATCCACCAAAAAATGTCTGGATGAATGAGGATGGCACTGAGCCGTCCACCTCAAACGCCAAAAAAAGAGACCACGACCAAATATCTGAGCAGAGTGATAGCGAGAAAGAAACCGAGGTGGCGCCCTGAAGACAAAAGAAGCACACCATACACTTTATCTATGGTGGACCCGCAGGGGGCGACACGCCCGCAGAAAGAAAGAAGTGGAGCAGACAGATATACGTGGGAGAAGTGGTGAGTCTTCCTAGAGAAAAGAAACAGAGACAGGAGGCCATCACCTTCTCTGATGATGACCTCCCAGAGGGCCCGCTACCCCATCGTGACGCCCTGGTGATTGAGATGGACGTCAACGATGTCATTGTCCGCCGCATCTTAGTCGACATGGGAAGCTCAGTCAATGTGATGTATTACGATGCCTTCACCAAGTTAGGGATACCTAGGAACCAGCTCAAAGAAGTACGTACCCCACTCTCTGGATTTACGGGTGATTCAGTGGAGACGGAAGGGTCGGTGGCCTTACCAGTGGAGATAGGCACGAGCCCTAACATTCGCAAACTTGACATGGAATTCATCGTGGTAAGACTCACTTGTGCGCACAACATCATTTTGGGGAGGCCGGCACTGGAGGACCTCAAGGCCATAGTGTCGGTGGAACACTTGTGTATGAAATTCCCTACTCCGAATGGGATAGGGGTCGTCAGAGGAAACCAGCGAGCAGCCCGCAGTTGTTACGTAAAAGCATGCAAAAAGATTGGCGAAAGGAATCCACAAGTCCACACCATTTGCAAGGATGATCGATCGGGTACGGAACTCAGAAAATTTAATTAGATATTATCAGTAATACGTTGTAGTCATGGCCCGCCCAGACCTGTAAACAGTATTTAGTAATCATGGTCCGCCCAGGTTACTTCGCTCTCAAATAAAAAGGTTTTCAAAACCACCTTCGATCAACCATGGCCGTAACTACACTCTTTAAAAAAAAAAAAAAAAAAAAAAAGGGGGGGGGGGGGGGGGGGGGGGCCGGGCAGCGTCTCAGCCACAGCCTCGGCCTCCTGGTCGAGGCGACGCCTCGGCCACTCGAAAAAAAAAAAAAAAAAAAAAAAGGGTCGAGGCGCACGCCTCGGCCAGATGGCTGAGGCCGCGCCTCAGCCCAAGGCCGAGGCGCATGCCTCGGCCTCCTGGTCGAGGCGACGCCTCGGCAAAGTGGCTGAGGCGACGCCTCGGCCAAGTGGCTGTGGCGACGCCTCGGCCTAGTGGCTGAGGCGACGACTCGGCCACTCGAAAAAAAAAAAAAAAAAAAAAAAGGTCGAGGCGCACGCCTCGGCCAAGTGGCCGGGGCGCACGCCTCGGCCAAGTGGCCGAAGCGACGCCTCAGCCACATGGCCGGGGCACACGCCTCGGCCAGATGGCTGAGGCCGCGCCTCAGCCCAAGGCCGAGGCGCACGCCTTGGCCTCCTGGTCGAGGCGACGCCTTGGCCACTCGAAAAAAAAAAAAAAAAAAAGTTTCGAGGCGCACGCCTCAGCCACATGGCCGGGGCACACGCCTCAGCCACTCGGCCGAGGCGCACGCCTCAGCCACTCGGCCAAGGCGCACGCCTCGGTCAAGTGCGCCTCTCGGCCGTGGCCGAAGCGCAGTGCCTCGGCAACAAGGCGAGGCACCCGCCTCAGCCAGGTTGAGGCGGCGCCCCAACCCGAAGCCGGCCCACGCTGCAAAAAAAAAAAAAAAAAAAAAAAAAAAAAAAAGGTAATGTTAACCGCAGAAACCGACGGATGGTGACAAGAGCTGATAGAAAGGTGCTCAAATTGCTCAGGCAGGAAGGGATCTGGAAAACAAAATCGCATATCCTAACTCAATCAGGATGGCACAGTATCACCATTGATTCAGCCTTACTCCCAAGTCAACTCAAACACATTCGTATACTCAGGAGTAGGGGGGACTGGTGACAGGATAATAGGGCTGGCACCCAACCCGGATCATAAGTGTGCATCTGACCC